ATAAATAGAGTAAAGGATATAATAAATAAAAAGGCTTTGTATATTCTGTATAACTCACTGGTGGTACCATATATGACGTATTGTGTGGAGGTATGGGGGAATGCCTGTAAAACACATGTAAATTCAATCTTCCTCTAACAGAAAAGAGCTGTTAGAGTTATCTGGATTCAGAGATCATACAAACCCAATATTTATAGAGATGAATCTACTGAAGGTTAATGATTTCATTGAGTAAAATATCTTAAAATTCATGTACAAAGCCCATAAAAATGTTACCTAACAAWATCCAAAGCAGATTTATCAAAAGAGAAAGTATATATAATTTAAAAGATGATGAGACTTTTGGAAAACATAGATTTAGAACTGTATTAAAGGGAAGATGTTTCTCAATTAAGGGTGTTTGTTTGTGGAATGGTCTTGATAGGGAGATAAAACAGTCAAAATCTTTTTTGTATTTAAAAAAACTTGAAAATTACTTTGATGAAGCGTTATAATACTGTCTAATGTATTGTTTTGTTGTAATTTTGTGTGTTGAAATTTGTTGTAATTTTGTGTGTTTACTTTCACTGTATGCTGACGGTGAACTTTTGAGTTGGTGGCTGATTTTATTTTGCGAGTAGGGGCAGATATTATAAGTTTATACTTTCCTTTTCATTCATGACTTCTTTTCAACTTAGTTTTGTTTTCCTTGACATTCTGATTTTGTATGCATCATTGTTTATTTTATTTTTCGTTTCTTTTTTATTATTTATATTTTATTGGACGACTTGGTTTTTTTCCCTGTTTTTCCTATTGTTTTATTAGATCATTTCTTTTATTATTGGATTATTTATTATTGGATGACTTGCTGTTTTGTACTCATTTTTCAATTCATGATTGAAATAAATGATGATGACAAGGATAATACTAATCAGTATCAAAGTAAAAAGCTATATGAAAATCCTTGCTTTAATATTATGACAATCATCAACAACATCTGCATCTAATAAGAAAAAACTTACCATTTGTAATAATATTCAATAATAATAGTATTCTTATGTTCTGGGTCAAAATATATTTTATGGCCCTTTTCAGGTTCTCACAGATTATTATATTCTGCTTGGTGGTGTCTGTTTTTCTAATCAATAAATCATAAGTGATGTATTAATTAAAAAATGTAGTAAAAATAAATCAACAGGATAAAAAAAAGCTATAGATAGATAGATAGATAGATAGATAGATAGATAGATAGATAGATAGATAGATAGATAGATAGATAGATAGATAGATAGATAAAACCTACAAATGAAATTCAGAAAATATTTCAAGCTTTCATATTTAAACAACATTAAATTAATAAAAACAGTATATTAAAGTAGAAATCCTTCACAGACATGTAGTTGTGAACAAACAGCGCCTCTTTGTGGCTTAAATATTCTGTGCAGCCACTTGTCAGACATGTTTGTTGTAAATAACAACAAAGAATCAGGTCTTCTGAACAAAAGGCCTCATTTAAGTCTTTTTGGGAGTTTGGCTGCATCGTAACACAAGATGGAAACAAGTCAGCGAAGAGTAAAGCTGTTTATTCTCTTTAATTTCTGTTCACTTTTTTTGTGTGTTTTTTTGTTTTCCACAAGATGGCAGTGCTAACATGGCTGTGGGAGGCTTCTTTAGTGGTTTTGTTGTGGCTTTTTGACTGAAGTCCTCACATGTTTTTTATGTTTGTCATGTACAGGATTTAAAAAGCTCTGTTGTCTTTCCAAACAGAAAATGGGTGTAGATGTTGGAGCAAGTATGAGCTGAGAGGCAGGAAGGACTAAATATGGCACAGAGACCATTAACGTTGCTTCTCTAATTAAAGACAAACTGGGCGCTCCGGACTGTTACGAGTTCCTTATTGCGTTTGCACAGTAACGTTTCCACCATCACTGGTTTCCTCCAGCTCTCTGATTCCTCTGCCTCACTGTCGGCACAGACGGATTCTGCTTTGGTCAAACCTTGAAAGGGTGTAAGAAAATATCAATACGTTGAAATATTGTGATATGTAATTCCCTGATACTGTATCGATTYTCAAAAGCATTGTATTGATTTAAAACTAAAACTTAATGGATGGAAGTTGTCGGGAGAAATGCAAAATACAGCAGTTTTCACTGTTGTTCTTCTGATTGCATTAAAACAAACTAAATTTTATAGGATTTTATGCATGTAGTACATCTTGTGTTTTTTATAGTGAGTTGTTTTTATTAGAATCTTTTGGAGAAAAAAAACGGCAATATATCGCCTTGCTTACAATTACGATATATCGTAATATAATGTATCATGATCCCTGTGTTGTGATATTCATCATATCAACAAATTCTTGCCAGTACACAGAAAATACATGATTGCACCTGATATATGAGAAAAAATAAAAATGACTTGCCAATGCAACTTCATTTCCAAAAAAGTTGCAAGTTTGTGTAAAATGTAACCTCATAAACCCATATTTTATTTATGATGGAACAAATTAAACCTCCTTTTTGGAACTGGCAGCCGTTTTTACCTCAGTGTAGCATCCTCTTTTCTTTTAACAACTTTCTGAGTTGCTGAGAGGTTTAGAGTGGAAAGTTGTCTTTTTAAAAGCAGTTTAAGAAAACGGATGAAAGTTTCTTTTTCTTGTCTGATCTCGGACTGTTTAACAGCTCCRGGTTTTCTTTGCTGTCCTTTCACATATTTTCTGCTGATGAGAGGTCTGGGCTGCAGGCAGCTCAGTTCAGCACCTGGACTCAAAGCCACTCTGTTGTAATGGATGCAGTTTGTGTTTAAATATACAAGTCCTCCCCTGAAAAWTTAGATTGTCTTGATGGGATCACATGTTGTTCTAAAACCTGTAAACACTTTTCTCTTGATGGTGCTTTCTTTGGTATCTAAGCTAACCATCCCATAGATGTTAATGCACCCCTATACCATCAGAAAGGCTGAATGTTGATAACAGGTTGAATGGTTTTCTCTGCAACGGTGTTTACAGACAATGATTTATTTATACGTGTTCCTGAACCCGTGCAGCGACGCCCCTGACAGAATCAGACCCGTTTTAATGAGGGCCCCCAAACTCTCATACTGACTGCTGTCCTTTGAACTCAGAGATTTGAAATCTTTTGATTATATGAACTGCAGATGATGGGATGTTCAAAATCGTCACGATTTTCTGTTGTGAAACATTCTGATACGTTCAGTTTTTCCTTACCTGTGGGAGATTCAGACTCTTGAAAATGCTCTGTTTTAATAATCTGTTATCAGTTTAATAATGTTATTTAATATTTTAGCTCAAAATGCTCCCCCAGGTGTTTCTTTACCTTCACGGTTTTTTGTTGCCTCTGCTAACATGAAATTTAAAATTACCCCATTATTTCTTTAAAATGGTCCAATGTCAGAGTTTAAACATTTAATTGTGTTTCATTGCAAATAAAATACAGATTTATGAGATATACTCACTTTTGAAATTGGCGTTGTAAAACTTGAAAATTAGTCSTTGTTAGTTTGTTTGTGTTGAACCTTTTTCT